ACAATAAGTAATGTCGGCTGTAACAGTAACACAATAAGTAATGTCGGCTGTAACAGTAACACAATAAGTAATGTCGGCTGTAACAGTAACACACTAAGTAATGTCGGCTGTAACCGTAACACACTAACTAATGTCGGCTGTAACAGTATTACACTAAGTAATATCGGCTGTAACAGTAACACAATAAGTAATGTCGGCTGTAACAGTAACACAATAAGTAATGTTGGCTGTAACAGTAATACAATAAGTAATGTCGGCTGTAACAGTATTACAATAAGTAATGTCGGCTGTAACAGTAATACACTAAGTAATGTCGGCTGTAACCGTAACACACTAAATAATGTCGGCTGTAACAGTATTACAATAAGTAATGTCGGCTGTAACAGTATTACAATAAGTAATGTCGGCTGTAACAGTAATACAATAAGTAATGTCGGTTGTAACAGTAACACAATAAGTAATGTCGGCTGTAACAGTATTACAATAAGTAATATCGGCTGTAACAGTAATACAATAAGTAATGTCGGCTGTAACAGTAATACAATAAGTAATGTCGGCTGTAACAGTAACACAATAAGTAATGTCGGCTGTAACAGTAACACAATATGTATTGTCGGCTGTAACAGTAACACAATAAGTAATGTCGGCTGTAACAGTAACACAATATGTATTGTCGGCTGTAACAGTAACACAATAAGTAATGTCGGCTGTAATAATTAGCAGAGTGCTGTATATGTATTGTTAGTAGCTGTAGTAATATTATCATCACATCTATGATTTTGTGTCATCAGATTAGACTTGGTGTGGGCGTGGCGTGCCTGGTGGGTGTGTTGATGGTGTTTTGGGGGTGCGCCCTAGGAGGCTACTTCCCTCATTCCCCCCACACCACCTTCCTCCATGTCTGGTTCATTTTCGTCTTCGTCTTCGCCTTCTGCATCGTTCTTGTTATTGTGGCCACCGCCTGGGGTGTTCAGGGCACCGCTCGTCTCCCCACTTCAGGTAAGTGGGGGAGGTGAGAGGAAGAAACAGAATGGTTAGGTAAGGGAGAGAGATGGTGACTAACTGATACCTCTGTCACACACTCATACATTCACACATTGCATCTTCAGTGGACTTTCGAATTTGGAATCACTAAATTGCCACTCCAGTACCATTACCACTTGGTCATCTCAGGGTTAATTCAAAACTCTGACCAATTGGTAAAGTGTTTAACTGGTCAATATAGACCAGTTAAACACTTTACTACTTCGGGGGAAGATTGAACGCCGGGTACTGTAGTTTGATTGCCATTCCAGTAATATATTATAACCCCTTGACCACCCGACTTATATTGTTACTATTGGCTTATTGTTGTTCCTATTTCCTAGCCTCAAGGCGGCTGACCATGGTGTACCCTGAGGAGGGCAAGAGGACCCCCGGCAGGAGGGGCGAGGGGTCTTACTACGAGCGGCAGGAGCAGCTGCGACGGGAACAAGCCTCCAGACCCCTCGTAGTGAGGGTCAACTCTGTTGCGATACTTCTGCTGGGGCTGGCTGGCCTCTCCTTCCTCATCTGGTACATCACTACAGCTCTGATTCAATATTGAGGCTCTAATAATAATAAAGATTGCCCCTCGTGTGTAACGAGGATGGCCGGCCCTAGGGCCAACTAGGCGTGAATTTGTTTAAGGTGTAGAAGCTGTCGCCAACACAACAACCACACCCTAATTTACCGAGTTGCATGACCCAGAGTCAAGGAATATTCCGAGAAGACTGGGCAACTCGCCAACTGCACTGAGGCTTAACACACACACACACACACACACACAACTGTTGATGCTGTGTGAGGTACAATTCACTTCTATCTGTTAAACTCTTTATTGACACTTGTGATAAATAAAACACTTGGTTGGTACATCCAAGCTTTACTTGACTCATTTCACTACATATCTGAAATAACACAAAAACAAATGTTGTAACAATTCAAAAATGAAACAACAATGAATATAATATAACATGAGGGTTTTATCCTAATAATGAAATAAACTAAAATGATACTGACAAACAAGAACAAAATAATATTACAGTATTTTCCATAATGATATTTTAAAAATATCACATTCTTCCTTCCTAGAAAATGTACACTAATAGTACGTAAACACGGCATATAACACTTCTCATCAAGATACTAATTTACTTCAATACATGATCTTAATCCCAGCCATAACGATTGGGAGGCTTTGGTACTCGAGTAGACCTTCTGGGTGTCACCGGGAAGGGGGAACTTCTTCACTGGGTATTTCACACGGTAAGTCACGACCTTGAATGTTAGGTGTAGTAGGGGAATCCATCATTCTCGTCCCATTGTCATGAACTCGAGAGGGCTGATTCTAGTGATCAGATTCGACCTCATGCTGCTTCACAGGAGTTGCCAGACTCGTTGGACACGGGGCCAAATCACGGACAGATACTATAGACTGGCGTCCATCTGGATACCTAATGCTAGCATATGTTGGGTTTACAGTCCATCAACGAGCTCAACTTGGTCTACTTGAGGTTCATTCTTGCTAGACCGGACAGAATGTCGAAGCAGCACTGGTCCAGGGGACATAAGCCATGATGGTAGTGGACTACCGTGAGTTGAGCGTCGTTGGAATCCAAAAAAAAACTGCGCATGTGGGGTTGTATTAGTTGAAGTAGACAAAAGTGATCTAATTGAGTGTAGTGCATCTGGAAGCACCAATTCCCAGTGTTGATCTGCTAGATCGTGTGACTTCAGTGTTAGACAAATAGCCTTCCATATGATACCATTGTACCGTTCGACCTGTGCATTTCCTGTGGGATGGTAGGGTGTTGTCCTGCTTGTTGCACACCCTTTTGAGAAAGGTATGTGTTAACGCTCATAGGAGCGTTATTGGTTTGTTGCTGGAGAAATAAACCCTCAACGTTGGTGCGTACCATATAATTCGGTCAAAACCTGTTAAAGAACATTTCTCATATAACAAATGCTGTTATCTCAGGAGACATAGTATGAATAATACAATCAATATACAGTACATAGCCTGTTAACGTCTTAAATATAACTCGCATGTTATAACTATTGATACAGGAGACAATTGGTATAATATGATCAAATTACAGTACACAAATATACTTATTAAAGTTATTTAGAGTTTCTTAGCAGATTCTAATACTTCACGATCACTCACGTTTTAGGGTCTAGTGGTCTGAACCAACGTGTTGTCTGTCCTGTAGAAATCAGTAGACTACCTTCGAGGGCAATCTCAGCCCGGAGGCGAGGGCCATATGTTTTCGTATTGAAACACCTCAGCAGATTGGTCAGCAAATTCGTTGTCAACACTATATCTCTTATCTCACCCCCTCTCTCTCTCGCCTAGTTTATCTTATTATGGTTATCCCTCTCTTTCTCTCTCTCTTCTAGCTTATCTTACTGTGGCGGTAACAGTATGCCTTGAGCTCCCGGGACATAAAGGAGGTACCTCTGTCTGAGTGTATAAAGTTGGGCATTCCACAAAGGCTAAATATTGTTTAAAGGCATTTGATCACAGTCGTGGTGTGCATGTTAGGGCATGGGAATGCAAAAGGGAAGCGTGAGTACTCATCAACGGCTGTAAACATATAAGGATTACGGGTCGCTGATGGTAGAGGCCCCTTGAAATCAATGCTGAGCCGCTCCAAAGGCTGAGTATCTTTGGTGAGTGTCCCTTCCGATGGGCGGTAGAACTGGGGGCTTCAATTCTGCGCAGACTTTGCAAGATGCACATGTTCTTTTTACATCTTTTGTTGAGTATGGGAGGTTTTTTGATCTCACAAAGTGTAGGAGCCTAGTCACTCCAGGATGGCAGAGTCCATTATGGATTTCAGTGGGAGTAGATGCAGGGAATGTTGAACAGCAAAATGCTCTGGTCAGCGTATCAGGAGCCACATTTTCCTTTCCAGGGTGATACCGTATGGTGTAGCTGAAGGATGCTAGCTCCAACCTCCATTCTTGTATTTTATTATTCTTTATTTTAGTTCACCTTCGGCTGTCCCAGCATAAATGCTACAGAGCGTTGGTCAGTGATCAGCAAAAATAATGACGCCTGGCTAGGAAATGGCTCCATGTACGAACTGCCTCTATAATGGCAGTAGCCTCTTTCTCTACAGCTGATAATGTAGCTCACTACCCTGCAAAGTCCTGGACATTAATGCAACAGGACGGCCACCTTGGTTCAAGACTGCTGAGATAGCTACTTCTGAGGCATCGCACTCCACTACAAATGGCAGGTCCTCATCGACAGATCGTAGAGTTGCATCCACAAGTCGCTTTTTTAAGAGTTCAAATGCTGTCAAGGCTGCTTCGCCTAGTGGGAACGTCTTGCTTCTTACCAAAGGTTGAATCATGTCTGAGAAATTGGAGATCCATTTGGCATAATAGGCAAATATTCCCAGTGCCCTCCGCAGAGATCCTACGTTTGTGGGTGGCGGCAATTCTTGGAGCGGACGCATCCTCTCAGGGTCTGGCATTATGGTACCACTCCCTACACAATAGCCAAGAACATTGATGGAGGATACCGATTTTATGGATTATCATTGAGTGTCAAGTTTCTGCGCTCAGCGACTTCTAGAAATTTCCGAAGATGTTCGTCGTGTTCAGCCTGGGTATGTCCGGTAATTGTAATGTTGTCCAAGTATGGGAAAGTATTCTTGAGATTTCTTCTTCCACAAGCTTGTCCATCAAACGTTGAAAAACAGTAACTCCATTTGTGACACCAAATGGTATTCTACAGAATTGATACAGTCTCCCATCAGCTTCATAAGCTGTGTACTTCTTGTCAGAGTCCTTGATTGGAACTTGGTGATAGGCACTTTTCAAGTCGAATGAAGAAAACACTCTGTAATTGGCAATATTATTGACCATGTCGTCTATCCTCGGCAGTGGATAAGCATCTAGTTCCGTATATTGATTAATGATCTGAGAGTAGTCAATGCAGAGTTAAGAGGATCTTTCACCACAACAACCTGGGCGCGCCATGGAGATGAGCTTGCTTCAATGATACCTTCTGACAGTAAGTGAGATGTTTGTTGCTTAATGAACAAGCGGCCATCCATAGTGAAGCGCCGCGATTTGGTTGCAATGGGTTTACATTCTGGTGGCAGGTTTGGAAAAAGCGATGGCTCATCCATCAAAGCTGCTGAGAGTGCACAGACTGAATTGGTACCAGCAACTGTGAGCTCTGGTTTCTGTCCTCCATGCTCGAATGTCAGACTTTTGTGTTTCTGAAAGTCTTGGCCCAAAAGCAGGTCACAACACACGTCTTTTAAGATCCCCAAGGCTGGTAGATGGATACATTTGGCCATTGAGCTCCAAATTTACATTAGAAAACCCCGAAGAGCTGGTACTTAATGACGTTGATGTCATAGAGATCTCCTTAATTGATGGATATACTGTCAGATTTAATTTTTTCGCGGTGCTTTCACTTATGAAACTATCATAACTACATGAGTCAATTAGTGCCTTCAGCTTGTGTCCATTTACTATGACTTCAGTGGCTGCAGGTGAGAGGCTCTAAGGAAATGCAGTTGTAATAGCAAGAACAGTAGGATTGTACAATGTTGCAGTAGTACTCACGGGTGCCTTTGACTGACAGACTTTAGCAAAATGCCCTTTCCTGCTGCAAGTATGGCAGGTAGCATCACGTGCCGGGCACTTGTTTCTAATGTGAAACGCACCGCCACAGACGTAACATTCCTTCCTAGCAGTGTAGACAGTAGCTAGTGTATGATCCTCATGGGGTAGTTCTTCTTTTGTCTGGGGTTGCTCAGGTACAACTAGTGCAGCAGTGTGTGCACTTGGTGATGAGTAAGCATCAGCATTACGCTAGGCCAGGTCAAGTGAGTATGCCTGATTAGAGGCATTCTATAAGCCAAGTGTCTTGTTCTTCAGAAGACGTTGCCGGATGAGTGGTGAGGAAATACCATTGATGAAGGCATCACGGATTAATTCTTCACGATACTGTTCCGCAGTAACTGGTTTCAAGTTACAGTCTTTACTGAGTTTGCGTAGTTCTCTTAGAAACTCATCAAGGGTCTCACCAAGCTGCTGCCGCCGTGTAGCTAAGAGGTGTCTAGTAAAGATCTCGTTTGGAGTTTTCACATACACACTTTCTAGCATAGATATGGCATTTTCGAAGGTTGTGCACTCGTCAATAAAATTCATACACAGTATGCGATACACTGTTCACCAGAGTTCTGAGTTTGTCAGGAGCATTTTCTCCACACTCCTCAATGAAGTTTATGAATGTGCGATGCCAGTGCTTCCACTCCTTGGCTGCTGTAGTCGAGTTAGGATCAATATCCAGATGTGTGGGTCTTAGTAGCTTCTCCATGGTGGGCTTAGATGAGTCAAGTAAATTTGGGTAAATAAAACACTTGGTTGGTACATCCAAGCTTTACTTGACTCATTTCACTACATATCCGAATTAACACAAAAGCAAATGTTGCAACAATTCAAAGAGGAAACAACAATGAATATAATATAACATGGTGGTTTTATCCTAATAATGAAATAAACTTAAATGATACTGACAAACAAGAACAAAATAATATTACAGTATTTTCCATAATGATATTTTTAAAATATCACAACATTCAGAAAATTAAACACCAAAATTTGATCATACATCAGATTTAACA